CACCGCGCACGCACACGTAGAGGACACACAAGATGTATTTATCCGTATATAACATATATCATCAATAACTTGCCGCACGAATTGCAAGCAAATAGTTGAACCAATGATATTCCTCGTAAAATAAATAAACAAGCTGTGCGCTCTCCAGCACGGACAGAAAAACGAAAATAACACTTTCCTCGCGATCAATTTTCTCCACGGACTGTACATGCCTTTTTCGACAAAGCACTATGAAAACATTTCTTTTTTTTTTCACCCTTCTCCTCCCCCCCGCCCTCCTGCTCGCCGTCGCCGTCGTTGCCGCCACCACCGCCGCCGCCATCGTCGTCGTCGTCGTACTTGCGATTTTATTTCGCGAGATGATCTTAAAAGCATATATCGGAATTGGATTTGTAAGCGTGCCCAATTCGACACGATACGCGAAACGCAACTATATTATTCCGACCGCAATAACAATGTAACCGTTTATCGATTCGCTTCTTGGACATATGACGGATAATAATGCCTCTCTATTATCTTTCGTTTCTTTTCTTTTTTTTTTTTTTACTTTTTTTATATCGCGCAGAAATTTATCACGACACGATGTGACGTTACTATTCGATAAATGCTGATTTCGTGGTAAAGGAAAGGAGTCGAAAAAAACAATGCAATTTCTCATTAAATAGTCGTTAGGACAATGTGAGTTGAGGTGGCTGCGTTAAATCGGGTTAAGGCACATCTATAAATACCTCACTAACTGAGAACGAGAGGGAATGAGAGGGAGAATGACGGCATGGAGTAGAGTCAAAGAAAGAGAAGTACGAAGTAGATAGAGGAAGATCGCGAGACAAACGGAGAAAGATACAAAGGGAGAAAGACGAAGTGAGAAAAAGAATGGGGGGGGAAGTACTGAGAGTGCGACAGAGAGAGAGGAAATAAAAGGCAGAGTCGGCAGGGGGAGAGAGACGCGTGAGATAAGGACGGAATCGTAAACTTGACAGAGAGGATCGAAAATGAAACGGAGATGAACGGATAGACGATGATGGCTTAAAGAGAGAGAGAGAGAGAGAGAGAGAGAGAGAGAGGGGGGGGGGGAGGGGGTGAGAGGAGGGGAAGGAGAAGTAACCAGGCTATCTAATAGTATGGTACACATCGAAGATACATACAATAGTATTCGTTGCCAGATGTCTAACTACACGATCATCTCCCCCACTATCGGCTAACCCCTCTCCACCACTCGTCACCACGCTGTCACTTCTGCATTACGGTCGAGCGAGTATTTGCCGAGGTAAATCTGATGGTTATGTGGGAGGGAAAATGGGGGAGCGCGGGGGAGGGGAGCGGAGTAGAGGGGGAGGGGAGTAAGAGCGCGGTGATTATAAAGAGGGGGGAGAGAGAGAGAAAGAGAGAGAAAGAAAAAATAAAAGACGAGAGAAGCAGAAGAGAACTTTAAGCGCGAAATTTATTTGCGGCACGGCGTTAACGGCGCGATGGGACGGGAAATTCGTGTATACCGGCTTCCACTAGATTCTCACCTCTATCTTTTCCATTTCTTGGTCGCACGAGTGTCACACACTATTCCCACAGTCATCTAGGATCCGTTGGTGCACACACACACTGACAGCACATAGCGCGCGATATATATATGTATATATATATACACA